GACCCCACCTTTGAGTCCTCGGCTGCGTCTGCTCTGGTCGCTGAGTTGGTTGACTTTGCTGCTGCCTGTCGTCTAGACTACGCTGCTAGCCTTGTCGCTGAGTCAGAGTCTGCGTCTGTCTGTCCTCCGTCCGTCGGAGGTGAGTGTGCTCTTGGCACGGACGTCCTTGAGGACAGGCAGGAGGACTTTGACTCTCTTGCGGCTGCTGTACCTCATCTCGTGGCCTGGTTGCTTGCCCCTGAGGGAGACCCGGATGCACTAGACATCCCCACTCCGCGCACTTACGCAGAGGCGATCTCGGGTCCCTACTCCTCTCAGTGGCAGACAGCCATGGACGCAGAGATGGCATCCTGGAAGTCCACAGGCACCTACGTCGACGAGGTTCCCCCTCCTGGGGCGAACATCGTCGATGGCATGTGGATTTTCAGGGTGAAGCGGCCGCCAGGTTCTCCGCCTGTCTTCAAGGCTCGTTACGTTGCTAGAGGCTTCAGTCAGCGTCAGGGGGTCGACTTCTTCCAGACCTTCTCCCCCACCCCGAAGATGACCACTCTTCGGGTTCTGCTGCACGTTGCTGCTCAGCGTGACTACGAGCTTCACTCTCTTGACTTCAGCACAGCGTTCCTGCAGGGCAGCCTGCACGAGGAGATCTGGCTGCGCCGCCCACCTGGCTTTACTGGGTCGTTTCCCCCTGGTACCCAGTGGAGTCTCCGCCGGCCAGTCTACGGTCTCCGCCAGGCGCCACGTGAGTGGCACGACACACTGAGGACTACTCTTGCGGCTCTTGGGTTCGCGCCGTCTACTGCTGACCCGTCGCTGTTTCTGCGCACAGACACGTCGCTGCCGCCGTTCTACATCCTCGTGTACGTCAACGACTTGGTCTTTGCTACTGCTGACACTGAGGCACTCGCTCGTGTGAAGTCGGAGCTGCAGAAGAGACACACCTGCACTGACCTGGGTGAACTGCGTAGCTACCTTGGCTTGCAGATCACCCGGGACAGAGCTCGCCGCACCATCACCCTGACTCAGTCACACATGGTGCAGCAGGTCCTTCAGCGCTTCGGCTTCCAGTTCTCCTCACCACAGGCCACACCTCTGGCTACCAGCCACTCGCTCTCAGCTCCACCTTCGGACGAGTCCGTAGAGCCGAGTGGCCCATACCCAGAGCTTGTAGGCTGCCTCATGTACCTGATGACTTGCACGCGACCTGACCTCGCGTACCCTCTTAGCATCCTTGCTCGTTACGTTGCGCCTGGGAGACACAGGCGAGAGCACTGGGAGGCTGCTAAGAGGGTGCTGCGTTACCTGTGCAGTACATCAGGCATGGGGCTGGTGCTTGGAGGACGCGACAGAGTTGTCCTCACTGGTCACTCGGACGCCTCTTGGGTGGACGACCTGGCTACGCAGCGGTCGTCACAGGGTTACACCTTCAGCCTTGGCTCAGGTTCTGTCTCGTGGCGGTCCACCCGCTCTTCCTCTGTTCTCGGCTCTAGTTGTGAGGCTGAGATCTACGCCACAGCCATGGCTGCACAGGAGTTACGCTGGCTCACCTACCTGCTGACTGACTTGGGAGAGCGGCCTAGTTCTCCTCCAGTTCTGTACGGTGACAACAAGGCGGCTCTTGCCTTGTGTCAGGAGCACAGACTGGAGCACAGGACGAAGCACATTGCTCTTCGCTACTTTCTTGCTCGAGAGCTTCAGCAGCGCGGTCAGCTTTGGCTTGTGTACGTGGACTCGAAGGCCAACACTGCTGATATCTTCACCAAGGCGCTCCCGCCTAGTGATCATCAGCGGCACTGTACTTCTTTAGGCCTTGTGTCCACGTTTCCTCACTTGCTCACTGCTTGACATTCTTTGTACTGTACTTTATATATATCTTGTTGCTTGCTTGCTAGGTTTTGATCACTGTGTTGCTTGTCTTGTACTATATCTAGCACTGCATGTGAACTGGCCTTGTGGCCTTTACTTGTGCTCGGAGTGTGGTGACGTTGTGATCCACCCTGGGCTTTGCTTTGCTTTGCTGGACTGGTCTTGTGACCCTTTGTTCTCCCCCACTTTGCCTATGGGGGTGTGTTAAACTGTATTATGCTTGTAGGCTGTAGTGGGGTAGCCAATATGGGGTACAACCCCAACTAGGGTTTCATATTTGTACCCAAACTTCTGTTAGTTCATCATTCTTGCCTAGTGATTCTGACATACACTGCTGCAAACATTACAACATTGCGCCATTGGCGTCAACGAAACATTTGTAACAATGCACACCCCGCTCCCCCTATGCGACGCCCATCTATCCCAGATGTGGCGTCTCCTACTACCGCTTCCGTGGCGCCTGCTGGAGCGGATGCTTCCGCGGCTTCTCCCCGTCGCGCGCAGTCAACCCGCCGCTCGCCAACGTCCCGTGCCACAAGTGTGTCGCCCGGTCACTCGCCCTCGAGCTCTCGGCGGTCTGAACTGCCGCCAGCTTCGCTGGCGCCCGTCGGGCTTCCCGCCGCTGCCACAGCCTCGGCGTCCCCTTCGCAGTCACGAATCGTCGGTGCGCACCCTGGTGTTGCGCTCCGCGGCGGAGGTGTCTCCCGCCGGCCTCGGCCTGCGCCTGCAGAGGAGGAAAACGAAACAGATGCTCAGGGAGATGGCAGCCGTACTCACATGAACGCAAGCGACTCTGTCTTATGCGCCGAAATTGCAGGAATCATTGCACAGTCGGTCAAAGGGGCTATGCGGGACCAGTTCGATGAGTTTTGGGAACGTACCCAAGACCTGGTTGAGAAGAATCAGGATGCCCGAGCCGCCAAGAGGCGTAGAAATACGCCGCCAAGCGAGCTCGACGACGGGTCGGAGTAAAACCCTCATCGTGCGGCGAGAAATGAGGCGCGTCGGCCACAGGGCCTTCGAGCCACCACGTGTTACGCTGGCGCGGTTCTTCCTGGCGGTGTCGGAAACCGAGGCACAAGTCAATGTTGTGAAGCACAATGCACGCGGCGACGACCTGGGGGGCGCGGAACGTGTCGCACTCGAGGCGCCCGTCAAGAATGCGCCACTTGGTCTTCAGCCGCCCGTTCACCTGCTCCACGATCATGCGGGTACGGGACTGCTGCAAATTCCAGACGCGCTGCTCGTCGGGAAGCGCGCGACCGGGAAGGGCACGATAGGGGGTGTAGATGTAGGGCCTTAGGCCGTACGCAGCGTCAGCCACAATAGTGTAGTCTAGAATCCCGCCTTCTTCGATCTTGATGCGTGCAGGGCTGTTCATGAACACACGAGCGTCGTTGACGCTTCCGGGGTAGCCAACAAAGAAATCCCAAATTAGGCCCATGCTATCACAAATAAGTTGGCAAATAATTGGAAAAAAACCCTTTCGGTTTCTGAAATCTTCACAATGTGGGCCCATGCCGCGGCAATGTATGTATGTGCCGTCCATGGCACCCACAACGCCAGGAATGCCTGCTTGTATGCGAAACTCGGTCTCGAACAATTGAAGCATGTCCAGGTCGGGCCACACGACCCACTTGGGCAGGAGCACTTCGTTGATGAACCACACGAACTGAGTGAACAGTTTCTGGGAGTGAGAGTAGGAGTAACCAAAGTGTAGCCCAATTTCTCGAAAGGTCAGTCCATGACCGAGCCTGCTAAGACCCATGGCGACGAACACAAAGTTATGCACCGGGTGCCTAGTGGCTGCAAAACGGCTGCGCTGATACTGGCGAACCAAGTAAACAAACACACGTTTGTCGACGCGCAAATACTCATAAAAATTGGTCTCGGGCAGGGAGGTTATCAGACGGAACCACCGCACACGTGCGTCAAGCCGGTCGCCACGCACAAACACCCGAGTCTGCCTCAAAGTGTAGGCAGCGACAAGGGTGGGAAGAACCGCGCCAACTGCGTTGAGAACGGGAAGCATGACCAACTGGAGGTACCCCTGCCACACGATGCCCAAAAATCGGACGAGCTGGAGGATAGTCATGTTTGGGGAATGACGAGAGCTCCAGGTGGACAGCCTCCGATATTTGTACCCCCGAATTGAAGTTGAGCTGGAGGTCTATGCTATCCGAAACCGAAGCGCAAGTCGGTCGCGTGGCGCACTGTCAAGACGACTGAACCGGGTAACCTACTTTGTAGAAATGCGGTTCGGTGCGTTTTTACAAGTTCGAATACGCGCACTCGACCTTGTATATGTGTGTGCTTTTCTGCAGTGTTGTGGTCCAGATGTGCGAACCTCGCTACAATGAAAGTCGAGTTTGGTTCGACATATGTTCATGTAGCACAACTCGCCCTTAAAATGTAAACTTCCCGAAATTCCACCGATCACACGCGCCCTAACCTACGAGTGTAGGTCGCGGCTCGGCTGGGCTGCAAAAGTTAAACTTCGATAGATGAACTTTTGTGTGTCTTGTGATTCTCGGGGGTGTTGGAACCGCGACTCGGTTTGCAGATGTTGAATACTCGAGCCTAGGTCGACCTAGGTTCAAATGTGTACAGTTCAACTCAAAATCCGAGTTTTGCATATAAAAACCAAAAGACACGCGCCCTTATTGTCGGCGCGCTTTGTCGATTGAGCCCTTCAGCCGCGCGTTATTTCCCTGCTCCCAGCGTTCAAAGACGACTCACTGCTCGCTCCAGCACCCGCTCGTTCGTTTCGTCCGAGTCAGGTGGCGTAGGGAGAAGAAAACCTGCTGAGCTTCAATTGAGAGTCATTTCTTTCGCTGAAGCGCGGTCAGCGGTTCTTTGCTTCCTTGTCCGCGATACCATCAGCTATCCTCGCGCCTCGCTGCTCTCGCCGCCTCGAGTCCCGCACTCCTCCGTCTCCTTTCTTTCCGCCTCGGGCCATCCTTCCGCAGCCTCCGCCTCCGCCGCCGCCGCCGCCGTGTCGTCTCCGTCCTACACCGCTGATAGCTGACCGACTTCATTTGTTGCACGGTTTAAACTCAGCCCGCATCATCCGCCGTTTCTACCTCTCCTCTTCCTCACACCATCCTTTCCACCCCCCTTGCGCACCGTCGCTCATGCTAATGGCTTCGCAATCCCCCGCCGTCCCCGTCACTGGCGTGATATTCGATATTAGAACTATCGTGGACTCTGGCGCCGGCTGCGGAGCCACTAGAGGGGCGCTTTTAGAAGACTCAGGGACGGCAGGCGAGGGGAAAGGGTCGCGGCTTGCGGGGGCAGCGGGCGGTGGGGGTGGGGGCGGGGGAGATAGTGGGGGCGGGGGTGGCAGTGGGGGGAAGAGCAGCGGAGGCGCGGAGAGAGGGGCCGTGGCGGGGGTGGGAACCGAAGGGGGAGTGTTCAAGGTGTCCGGGAGAACCATACGGACGCTGTGCCGGCTGCACTATAGTGGCGTGCACATGGTGAGATGCGATGCATTGAGGTGAGATGAGGTGAGGTGAAGCGAAGTGAGAGTGAGGTGAGGTGAGGTGAGGTGAGGTGAGGTGAGGTGAGGTGAGGTGAGGTGAGGTGAGATGAGATGAGATGAGATGAGATGAGATGAGATGAGATGAGATGAGATGAGATGAGATGAGATGAGATGAGATGAGATGAGATGAGATGAGATGAGATGAGATGAGATGAGATGAGATGAGATGAGGAGAAGTGAAGTGAATTGAGTCGAAGTGTCAAAGTCAATCTATAATAGGTCAACCGTGGTCAATTTGCAGGGTCAGTCAAGTGAACTGGTCGTGTGCCTCTGGATTGGATTTTAGCTTTGTTGTCCTACGGCCAAGATGTTTCACGCATGATCTTCTTTAACACCACATTTCATCAAGTCGACTGTTCCTTCTCACGAGACCCATGTTGCATGTGTCTCTGCACTGCCCTCTCCCCCCCGTTGCGCGCACCGTTGTTGACTGCAGCATCAAAGTGCTCGCTCGCCCTCTCTAGGCTCACCTTCACCTAGTCTTGCGCTTTCCATGCCTGCACATTCCGTCCTTCTGTGACTGTGGCTAACTGCTGACATGTGTGCCTGTGTGCGTGCGTGCGTGCGCGCGCGCGCGCGCGCGTGTGTGTGTGTGTGTGTGTGAGTGTGTGTGTGTGTATGTGTGTGTGAGTGAGTGAGTGAGTGATTTCTTATGCCTTGATGCCATGCCATGCCACATGCCTGCTATGCCATGGCATGATATGAATGTCATGTTATGCTGCACACATGTGTCCTCAGGCTGTTCTCCTCTACGGCAGTCATCGCAACACCCTGGAACAACAGGTACACAACCCCCACCCACCTCCGCTCATCCCCCATCCCTTCCACGTTTTCTTCTCTCCCTCCTCTCTCCATTCCTCCTCGTCTTTCTCCCTCTTCTTGCTTCCATCAATTCTTGCTCCGTCATTTTCTTCTTCTTCCTCCCCCCGCACCCCCCTCGTCTCCCGCTTACCCAGCACCCTTTGTCAGTGTGCTGTTGTTGGTTATCCCTTGCACTCCAATCATGCATGCGCCCATGCTTTCCTTATCCTCCTTTATTCTTTCCCTCCCAACCCCCCTCGTCACCACTTCCCAACCTCCCTCCCCCTGCAAACCATTTCTTGCAAACTCTCAACATTCATTTGTTCCTCCCCTCCCTTCCTCTCCCACCCATTCTCCCTTCCCTCCACCAGTTCCTCTCCCTGCAAGCATCTCTAGCTGCTGACAAGTCCACCGCCCCCCTCGCCTCCCTCCTCACTCCCATCTTCCTCCCCCTTGCTGCCAGCTCACCTGCTTCGTCTCCTGCCCCTCCTCCCCCGCTCTCTCTCCTCTGGGACCCCTCCTCCTCCTCCTCCTTCTCCTCCTCCTCCTGCGAGCCCCACTCCCCCGCTGCAGCCCCGCCCTTCCCCCAGTCCACCACGCTCGTAGTGCTGGGTGGAGAAGCAGTGGGGGAGGTGCGAGTGCTGGCAGGTGCGCGCATGGGGTGTGGAGCATGGGGCAGGGCGTGGGGTGTGGGGCAGGGCGTGGGGTGTGGGGCAGGGCGTGGGGTGTGGGGCAGGGCGTGGGGTGTGGGGCAGGGCGTGGGGTGTGGGGCAGGGCGTGGGGTGTGGGGCAGGGCGTGGGGTGTGGGGCAGGGCGTGGGGTGTGGGGCAGGGCGTGGGGTGTGGGGCAGGGCGTGGGGTGTGGGGCAGGGCGTGGGGTGTGGGGCAGGGCGTGGGGTGTGGGGCAGGGCGTGGGGTGTGGGGCAGGGCGTGGAGCATGGGGCAGGGCGTGGGGTGTGGGGCAGGGCGTGGGGTGTGGGGCAGGGCGTGGAGCATGGGGCAGGGCGTGGGGTGTGGGGCAGGGCGTGGGGTGTGGGGCAGGGCGTGGAGCATGGGGCAGGGCGTGGGGTGTGGGGCAGGGCGTGGGGTGTGGGGCAGGGCATGGGGTGTGGGGCAGGGGGCAGGGGGCAGCAGGGGGCAGAGCTAAGGGTTCAGCTGTATTTTGCTTGTAAGGCACCTTAGAAGGGACTTCAGGGTTGACGCCCTTCCCTTCCCTCATGCCCTTGTCCCGAACCCCTCTCTTTCTCTCTCCCTGTCTCATGCCCCGATCTGATATCTCCGCACCAGGCCCAACAGCAGCTACCCTCACGTCGTCCGCATGCTCCTCCCTGCCCTGTTCTCCTCTGCAATGGCATCAGCATAACTCCGCACTGCAGGGCGAGGCTGTATTGCCTGACGTGGAGCTGGTAGCGCCCTTGCTGACACGGCTGAGCCACCAGGTGAGCCGCATACAGGCCATCATGCATGTGCACGTGTGCACATGTACACGGGGGGGTTTGGAGGGGGGACTTTTGAGGTGCTGCAAAAGTAAGCCGCAGGTGAACGAAAGGCATATGGGCCGTGGATGTGCGCGTGTGTGCATGGTTACATGTGGATGCCCTGTTCTGAATTAGGAGTGGTCGTTCTATTCCATGTCACTTCACACGTGCATGGACCATGCTCAAGCCCTCTCCACTCTTGTTCCACAACGTTTTTCACCCAAGTTGTACGCTGCTTGCATTGTTGTGACAAGATGTACATTGACCGGTTGCTTGTTTCTCAATCAACTTCCATCCAATCCATCTCCGTCCCATCCCATCCCATCCCATGCCATGCCATGCCATGCCATGCCATACCTTGCGGCACATTTCAGGCATCGGGTTATGCCATGATCCCCTACAGCATGAAGTGGTCTCGGGAGCTTGACTTCCTCAAGGCACGTGCACCGCTCCATGTGTGTCCGCACACATGCTCACATGCAGACTCGCACCCATGCACACATGCACCCATGCACAAATGCACCCATGCACGCATGCACACATGCACACATGCATGCACACATGCATGCACACATGCTCACATGCACGCAAGCACGCATGCCCACTTGCACGCATGCCCGCATGCTCACATGCCCGCATGCCCATGCGCCACCACTAGCTGACATACTTCCGCTTGCTGTGCCAACTCCTTCCCAGCAACATGCGTGTCCATATGCAAGCTGCCTCAAAGACCCCCCCTCCCATATTCTCACTCATTCTCCCCTCTCCTCTGTCCTCTCCTCTCATCTCTCCCTCTTTCTCATTGCGATGCATGCATGCACCATCTCATTGCAGCGCAGAGCATTTCCCCTTCTTCCATCACCATCACAAGCAGCACCCGCCCTTCTCTTCTCTCCGCTCACCCTTTCCCAACCTCTCACTGCTTCTGATAGCCACAACCACAGCAGCAGCTTCTCACAGCTGCCAATGCCCTCCACTTCAAGCCCTACCGTTGTGCTGCATAAAGCAACGGACGAGATTGTCCAAGTGGATGCATCAATGGACGGGGTTCATCTCACATTCTCACCACCTTTTCAACACCTTCTTGAGTGAGTTGCGTTATTGAAATCACTTTTAGTAATTCTCAAAAGTGATTTCAAAAGTGACTTTATAAAATGGTTTTTAAAAGTGTTTTTTTTTAGAATTCTCAAAAATGATTTCAATATGACCTTCT